TGTTCAAAGTATTTTTTCAAGTATCCAAAATTCACAGTGAGCGAGTATGTGTGTTGATGACGCTGTTAATGTGACAAATGCAAAATTGAAAAGAACCAAAAAACCAAATTAATGCAAATAGCTCGGATCTAAAAGAGGAGTCATACACGTAGAAGACGAGACGTCAACTTGGAAAGACAAGGGGATTCGAGAGCTTTTGTCGATGTGCTGTGAACAAAAACCTGATCTCCATGGCAGAATTTATTCATAATCTCCTGCATGCGCTATCCAAGCATCGCCCCTCGTCTGAATGTGCGTGACGTGAGCTCTGGAGCTTCTGACATCAAATGCATCACGATGGCAATAAGAATGTCACTGTTACAACTCATCACATTGCTGACACGTGTATATTAAAAAAAAAAAAGAATGAATCCCAATTCCTGTTGAGCTTATCTTCCTAATTGACATTCATTATGAATATTTGATTAAAAGTTGATTTAATATTGATGCACTTCTGTGAGGTTACTCCCACTTCTTCTTTCTGTCAAATTGAATGTTAACACAGCAGGAGCGATGTGGCTCTGTCTACTGCAGTGAAACTACATCCTCGAAAGCCAAAGAATTCTTTCCTGGTTTCTTTCTTGGTGCACACATGACTAACTTTGCAGACTCCCCAAGTGTATGAATAATCACCCCCCCATAAACCGTCAGAGATTTATGAATCCTTGTGAAGCACAGCAGCATTTCCGTGTCATGATTTACATCCACACAGGTCAAAGAATTACTGTCGCAGAAAATGACATCACATAAACATAAACTGTGACAGAACCTGTTTTGGGGGATGTATAAATACATTTAAATGAACCCTGAGGTGAAAATCACTGTGACCATGACAAAAAACTGTCTTGTGGTTTTGCATTGCTATTACTGCAGATGTACAAACTGTAATGAACTAACTGTTCAATGTTGGAAAACCTAAAATGCACATGAACATCTGCACCAAATCTATCATGCGTGTCACAACAACACAAATTAATCTGTATCTTAAAGGACATTGTTTTAAAGGAAATTGACTAAAACCCATTTTGGAAAAAAAGGCTTTGTTTGAATATAAATGTGTGTCAGGTAACTGTGTCTTAAAAGGTCCAACCGTGAAAATAAAGCCCGGTTAATTTTGACCACTAAATAAATCATCCTGCCACTCTTCAAATTAAAATGAAATGCAAATGAAGTGAGGTAAGTTACCAGATGATGTCTGTGGGACAGGATTGTTAACGGAAGCAATCAGCCTCAATGGCCTTCTTCCCACTTAAATGTTTTTTTTTTGCCATTTCTCTTCCGAGGCTGGAGCTCTTGATATTGTGAAAATGTTTTCACAATGAAGCTGAATCTTATCTCGCTCTCATGCAGGTTTGTTCTGTCTGGAGTTTAAAAGACTGGATTATAAAAGCAAACATCCCCCCCTACTTATTGTCTTCATATCTTATTCTTTATTTTCTTGATTTGATTTCTCTTAAATGTGCGTGTTCTACACTTTGAAGTTGTTGTGATTCTTTGTAAATCACAGAAAATGTAATTATCGCTTTTTTGCGTATGATCACTTTGTTTTTGCCGTGTTGTTTCTTATTTATGAAAGACGACACTGAGGGTGATAACACCTCAGATCTGCTGAGCCATTTCCTGTAGGTGTGCAACATCTTATCATCTTTAGACAGTATTGTTCTATAAATATTTAATGCAAATGCCAAGTAAATCCCATTTGAGGAGTCATTGGATTCCAGGTTCTCTCAAGCTTTTTTTTTTATTACCGCAGGGATATACATCCATTCTTAATACTTTAATTTAATCTACTAAGTGAAATGATCAAAGTGAAGAGCAAGACGGAAATGCTCAGAAGAAACAATTCCATTATTTCTGGGTCAGCTTTAATCCAATTCATCAGGAGAGTTTTTCAAAAAGAGATTGGTGAGGTATGTCCTTGAGGGCACAGATGCATTTCATATCTTCTGCTAATTTTTTTTTTTCTTTCTGGCAAAGAATGCTGATATTTGGGATTAGATTCTCATTGTTAAATACAACTTTGTAAGAAAAACATATTCCTGCCGACAATTAAAAACAGGCTGATCTCTTCGCAGGTGCTGCCACTTATATTTTTTCCTTTTCTTCCATCAGCACAGAGCAGAGACTTGTTTTGATCCTTTAGGACACCGGGCTTGTTTTGGAGGCAACAAGGTTCCCTCCTGACCTATTTTCTGAGCCGCGTTTCAAGCTACTTCACTTTGGCATTCAGCTCCTGCTCCTTTGTGAACTTCAGCCCACAAAGACGCCTGTGAACTTGATTGGCATTCTCCCGGTTTGATTGACTGCAGGACACTTTTTGTAAATGTCATTCTGGATGTGTCAATCTCCGATTAAACCAAGAAACAAATGAGGATGTGCCAGAGATTATTTTCAGTGCCTTCTGTCTTTTTGGTTATGATCAGTGCCAGCTTTAAAAAAAAAAAAAAAAAAAAAATTTTTTTTCTTTTTTTGGATGTTAAGTGTTGACAGGTGAGAAAGTGCGACTGTCACCGTCTCAGACTTCACAGTCGTACGTCCCGCTGCTACAGTGGCTATCCATATCCCCGTGTTTGGTGACCTGTCATCTCACTTCTTTAAAGTGAGAGCCCACTGCAGAGGCCTCAGTCTGACAGACCTCTCTGCAGACATTGTATTTTCATGAGCTTCCCGCTGGGTTCAGCTGCTGTGTGTTACCTTATATTCAACTTTCATCGCCATTACGTAATTCAAGGACTGTATCTTTATAACCTCAGACTTCTTTCTCACTTCTTAATAAAGGCACACAATGATGCACTTCAGTACTTTCAAAATGTTATATTACCCATGTTGCTAAAGGACCTTGATGTTGAGGACACTGCAAAGTTGCAGAAATAGTCAAGGCCTGCAATTATGCTGCACAGTAACATTAAAATAGCTTACAGCTTTATTGTTGAATGTAACACACATTTTTTGGTAGTCCGTTTTCCCCGTGTACAGGGGTCCTGATGTGTCGATGTAAAGCAGTTGAAAATACCACATTACAAATGTCCATATAAAAATGCTGTGAGTACACTGTCACGTGTCACTGTTGAAATACAGCGATGACAGTCACGTGGGTATTATGTTTTTAATTTAATATGTTAGATTCTCCATCTCTGTTAGATACAAAATAGACAAAAATAATTTTTCATATATTCTCCCAGAAATCTTCAAAAACATTGCCAAGTGATCACAACATAAAATATTCAATGACAATCTTCGTTATTTGCAGGTAAAATGCTATTAGCAAAATAAGTTTCTGTTTACTTTTATTACAGACTATATAATCACAAACTCTTCTTCACTTTCGGGATTGCTCGGTAAATACCTTGAACATCATGGTGAAATGAACGACAATCTATTTTGTGATTCGTTTCAAAAACTGAAAAAAACAAAGCAAAACATGGAATCACTCAACGAGAGAGGCCCATTTTCTGTGTGAAAAAAAATTACAGTCAAGCACAGTTCACATAAAATGTCATATTTCTTTGAGGCACTCCTTTCCTTGCAGCTCTAAGTTTCCATCCGTTATAGCCCTGTCAGTGATAAACGCTTGACAAATAAGCAGTGTGGATGAATAAAAATTTTACTGTTAAGTGCAATCACCAGTCGTGGACAGTGATTAGAGCTTATCCAGTTTGAGGCACACTATAATTTTTTTATGATCATTTTCTAAACAAAAAAACCCTCAGTATGATAAAGATAAAAGAAAATAACCAAAAAGGAAATTCATTCTCTGCATGGCCAGTCAGAGTTTTGTCATTGGTATGTGCAGGCTGTTCCAGGGTCCCATCCATAACTCGTCCTCGTCCGATAATGTGTGGTCACTGTGGCACTCCAGTGTCTCCCTGCTGTTCTTGTGGTTATCGACACACGTCTCTTGCTCGTCACTGACACAAGGGCCAATGTTGTTTCTGTCGATCAAAGCCTTGGCAATACTGGTTTTGGACCCGAAGATTTTGAGCTCGTTGTTGGTGGATCCCAGGGAGCCACAGGAGGACCGGGTATTGAGGTTGACATCCACATCTGAGGGGCTACACGTACCTGTTCCGTTTTCTGTGTTGTTTCCTGAACCCTCAATGCTTATAACAGGGGGAGGTTCTTCGTGAGTCACGCCTAACTTGTCTAGTTTTTTGAAATGCTTACCCAGCCGGCACGGTGACCCGCCCTTCAGGTTGTTTGGGTGCGGCAGCCTCCTGGTTCGGACGATGGTGCCGTTTTGTGAGAGGTAGACATTACCGTTGATGTTGCTGTTGGGGAGTCGGTTCCACTGGGTCTCTGTGGTGCTCTCCTCTCCTGTGGAGCTGGTCTCGTTCTCCCGATCTACCACCAGCTTAATCCTTTTCTTTCTTGCAGTCTGCGAAGGAAACACGGGATCAGAGTAAATATAACCTTAGTATCAGATGGTAAAGAACATCCCAGGCCTCAACACACACACTGCAGATAGCTGGGTTGTACACCAGGATACTGAGATCACAGAGGAATCACAGGGAAATCTTGGTTAAATTTACTTTCGTGTCCCAAGAAAAGAAAAAAAAATGCTGTTATTACATTAATACTACTATGAATTTTGAAAAGGACTTGTTACCAATAACTTCTTAATAAAAGAAAATTAAGAACTGAGTTTATGGGGGACAAATTTCACAGTGAGAGGAAAACATTCAGAGAAAGCAGAAAGTGCTGCAACATGCAAAATCTCACAGTAGAATCAAATGCAGAGGCGTGAAAACACACTCAGAGATCACCAAAGAGAAGAGTAGGTCAAAGATGTAAGAAAAGAGCAAATTCCCCATATTTCAAAGCAGGGAACCACCCTTGCTGAGGGGAAATGAGGGGAAAGTGGATTTTTGAAACACTCTGTAGAGGCACGCAATATTTCTTCACTCCCATGCAAGGGTAATTGATTTTATTCTCTCTTACTTCACAGCGGACAATATATCTCTCTAGAAGGCAGTTGAGTTTCCTTCAGACTCTGAATCAGCATCTGAAGTCGCCCCCGTTTCTCCGGAGTCCTTCGACACACCGCTGGGGTCTGATCCGGAGCCGCTGGCTGAAGACCTGTCAGAGGAGATGGCGTCCTCATCCACCTCAGTGATCGGGGATAGTCCTCCGTATGTCTCCTCAGAGGTCTCGCCAATGCTTCTGATCTCGGAGCGGTATGGGGGACCAGTGTAAGGGACAGAGGGTCCTGGGTCTTCGGATGCCACGCTGGACTTAGTGGACGATGTTTCATCACTGAGCTCGCTCGCTGAATCTTTGCTCTCCTCAGCAGTCTGAGATTCTTCCTCATCCTCCTCCTCACTCTCCTCTGTGATTGTGTCCTCAGATCCGCGGCTAAGGACGGACTTTCGGGACCGCCGGCTACCACTGGTGGACTTGGAGGCAGCTGAACTCTCCTCGCTACCCAGGGAACTTTGATCCTCCATCTGACCGCCAGAAGATGATCCTCCAGCCGACTCAGATACAGATGTTTTCCTCTGGCTGGACCCACGAGACGAGGAGCCTTCACTCCCTGACTCTGCCTCACTGGCTGTCCCTGTCCCTGACTCGGCCTCACTGAGCTCTTCGCTGGACTTCTCTGATGTTACTGCACTTCCTGATGATCTGGTTCTCTGTGACGACTTAACGCTTGAACCAGATAAAGACGCAGCGCGGCTACTACTACCACTGCCGGTACCACTGCCACTACCGCTGCCACTACCGCTGCCACTACCGCTGCCACTGCCACTCTCACTTGCAGTTTCACTTCTTCTGCTACCACTCCTACTACCACTCATTGCTGATGACTTGCTCTCCTTGCTGGCCTCAGTAGCTGATGACCTCATGGAAGATTGGGCAGAAGAGCCACTTCTAGCAGCACTCCCTGAAGCCTCTTCCTGCTCAGACTCTTCCTCAGACTCACTCTCTGTTCCTGAACCCTTTTCTGAGCTGGTTTCCTTCTCTGTTGCCGTCCCTGTTCCCGATTCAGTTTCTTTCTCAGATTCAGACTCTTTCTCGGACTCTTTCTCCGTTTCTGATTTTTTCTCTGTGGTCGATGACTTCTCAGACTCTGACTCTTTCTCTGAATCCGATTCTTTTTCGGTCGCAGATTCTTTCTCACTGACAGATTCTTTCTCACTGACAGATTCCTTCTCACTTTCTTCTCCTTCAGATTTGGACTTGCTCTCCTCATCAGAATCCCCCAGCTCTTCATCTGGCTCTTCCTCTGAGTCCACTGTGCTTTCGTTGGCATCGTCGCGGTCTAAATCTACTTTCAGATAATCTCTGTCAACACTGCCTTTCTCAGAGGATTCCTCATCAGAGCCTTTCTCCTTACCACTTCCACTTGCACCTTCTTCTGGCTCACTCTCTGTTACACTAATAGACACCTTAGACCTCCTTTCATCCTCACTGGTGACTTGCGAGGCCTCCTCGTCTCTCTCGCTGCCTGTGGCCGAGCCTCTACTCACACTACTCTGCGACTTCCTCCTGGCCCGCAGCTTGTTGCCTAAGTTGATTTTCCTCATAACTTTGCCAAGACGGCTGCGGGAATCAGACTTGCTGTCGATTGGTCCCGTAAGCGCTGGCCCGTCAGTCAGACTCTCTTGGCTGTCAATGCGGCGCGCTGACATCAGTTTGGCATAATCTTTGTCCTTCTTCCCAGCACCAAACATCTTGAACATTCTGGCTTTTTTCCATGAGGATGGGCCAGAGGGACCCGCATCAGATGGCTGCTCTCTCTTGCTGGCTGCCAGGAGTTTGCTGAGTTTCATAACAGACTTCAGTTTCTTGGCAGCCTTAGAAGGCTCACCCTCCTCTGCTGGCTCAGCTTGTTCGATTTCATCCTCTGGCGGCCCATCTCTAAATGCAACCTTCTTGGATGGACCTCTACCCCGCATGCCTCCACGGCCCCTGCCTCTGCCTCGGCCCTACGACAGTCACATTTAATTTTGGAACGGTGTGTGATGATAAAGGCACAATGTGACATAGGGTTGATGCAACTGTTTCAATAATACACAGAACACACAACTCATTAAAGCAATAGTTCACATTACTACACAAAGGAAAGGTAATACCTCCGGGCCACTGTAGTAATACCCATCATCCTCCATGATCACCTCCCCATATTCATCGTACATGGGCGATATCAGCCTCCTCCGACTGCCGAACTGAGGAATGTCGTACCTGAGAAACAGCAACAAAGTATCATTGCAGCATTTAGAACTACAGTACACCAGCATAACCATTAATTAGGTATCTTTAAAATAAACTGATCCATATGTTGTGAGATAAAAAGCAACAAGCATCTGTTTTTAGTTAAAAATCATTCATTTTTTTCTGTATCGTAACAAGCAACTGTCATTGTTTAACACAATGCTGCTAATGAGTCACAATGGAGAAATGTAATTAACAATCTGCTACAGGGACGAGAACTATACTAGAGTCAATATGAGCAAACTGAAGGACAATTTAACTGAAAACGTATTGAATAGTTTTAAAATTGCCATCTGCAGAATAGTGCATACAGTACATGACTTTTGTACAGCTGTCACCTTCAACACGTTTTATGTTCGTAACTCTTCTTTTTTAACTCTGTCTCCTAAACATTCCTCCGTCGTATCTGGTGGACTCCATTGATTACTGCCTTTTATTCTTTTTGGTAGATTTGGCAACATCTTTGATAAGTCAGTGAATGCTGCAGTGATTTGTTGCACTACTTTGAAATCACTCTGCAAGTTTGAAAGGATGTCGAGGAAAAAACAACAACAAAAAAAGGCCAAGGCTAAAAGAGGTTTTACAGAATATTTTCAGCAGTAGGTACATATAGTGCTTTTAATGAACAACAATTTCTTAGCAGCTGTTACGGCTTTGAGTTGCATGTTTTTCCTCTTTACACCATATGGGCGACAGAACAGGCAAGCCAAAAATGCCCTCTTTCCATTAAACCACAGGAAACACTTTTATGCACTCAGGTACCTGATTCAAGGCAAGCATAATTGATCACATTTGATGGGAGAGGAGAGGGAAAATGCTCAGGTGGTATGCAACGCTGCAGAAGAGAGATGCGGCCAAAGTTATGCTCATCGTTTTATTCTGAAGATCTTTAAAAAAAACTTGCCGTCCCCAGAGGAGCTCAGCACTGGGAGCTTGGAGGCAAGGTCATGACAAATAAGTCATAATGATGTAATTTTTTTTCACTTGAAATAATTGAGGATCATTCCCAGGAATTAGATTGAGATAGCAGAGAGACGGGAGGGTCAGTGGGCTGTATGCTCACCCTTGGTCATAATTATAGTAGTCCTGTGTGTAGTAGTCCTGGCCTGGGTCGATACCTGACTCCATGGAGAGTTCCTGCATTTCAGGGAGGCAGAAAAGAGAAATTACTCAGCACATCTCGGAGAGAGAGAGAGAGAGACATCAGAAGAGCAGCAGCAGCAGCAGCATAGAGGCTGAGTATACAGCAGATTGACAACAATCCCTGTGAATTAAGAAAAGCAGGAGTGTTTCTACCTCAGGTCTCAGCAGAGATGGCCTCAGCAGTTGCTGTTGCTGCCAAGGTTTAGTACGGAAGAAGGTGATGGAAGGGAAGGACGGTCAGGAGAGACACAAACACAAGGAACAGTTCACTCCACACATTTCAGATTTAAAAGCCAGAAAAAGAAAATGCAGGTTGTCTCTACATTGAATCAAAACTACACGCCACGGAGGAGCAGGGGGAGAAGTATTGATGGAAAGCAAGGAAAAAACAGGGAAGGAGTTACCCGAGCGATAGAGTAAGAAATTACAACGTGAAAATAAAAACATCCTGCCTCTGCTGGAAGTTGACAGGTCATAGAGTATTTGAAGGTGAGGAAAAGGGAGTTTAATGTCAAAACTGTCAAACTGGGATTTTGTTTGGCCTTGGATTATGTTGGGGAAAAACCTCATCCAAATGCTTATCTGTTATTTGACAGAAACACTGGGAGAAAACTCTTTTTCAAAACAAACCTAAACTGTAATGTCAGTGTCAGAAGGCCTATCAGTGGGATCTCATATTAATCTCATTCAGTGTTTCCCATCAAGTCTGTTATAGATAAGAATAATAGGATATTAGCTGCCTCGAGAGTGACAAAACATCTGGGCACAACATAATGATAAAAACACATCACAGAGGGGAATGCTTACCTGTCTGCCGTAGCCTCGCCTCCTGCGCCGCACAAAGGAGAGAATAAGACAAATAATGAATACGGACTGACAGCAACATTTCAAGTGCTTTTAGATAAATGAAATGTTTCTTCTAGGGGGACGAGAAATGCGTCTACTTTCTGCTGACCACTGAGGAAATTGCAGCTTTACTTACTGTGCATTTCCTTGTTAAATTACAGAGTTGCAGTTATTCTTCAGTATTAAAGAAGGTGCCTGAGGCCGAAATGTTATCACGAAGATGCGGGCTGTTTTTTTTCCCCCCCTCCCGTTATCTCATCCAAACAGGGAGAAAAAAAAAAGATACAATAAACGCAAATATCAAAGAGGGCTGGAAAGATTGGGGTTTGAATAAAAAAGAAAAAACTTAGTGTTTATACAGACGTATCTATACAATCTCCAAGCAGATATGAAAAAGACATTGTGATTCATGGTGGAATTACTAACTCAAAGAAAGCTAATAAAATTGTCTCTGGTTATCACGGCGTAATGCACCGTTTTCTCTCCCCAGAATGCAATGTTTTTTCTTTCTAAATCGAATTAAGTGAATCTTAGGAATTTCCCTATCAGACAGATAAAGAGGAATGCCACTCAAAGAGCACATACCTCCGGCGAAGGCCAGACAATTCTACTTGTCTGTCTGGTTCTTCTGATGGAAAATAAACTGTTTATCTGCACAAAATTGTTCAAACTCATCTTAATGCCATTAATAAGAAATCAAGCAAATAATATAAATATTTCTTCTAATTCTTGGATCCATACTTTTAACTAGATTCACACAAATTTTAACGGCTTCTTCCCTGGCCATTATCCCATCCCTTCCCTGAGGCCAAACAACCCTGTACGTGTTAATCTGCACCATTTTATAATAAATTGACTGAGCTCAACACCAATGAAATGTTTAAAAATGGGATTTTAAAATTCTTGGTTCCATCTCTTTAGACTGATTCACACCAAATTTCCACAGGTTGTTCCCTGGCCATTATCCAATCCCTCCAGCCAAATTTGGTGCAACTAAATTTAGCATTGTTTTCAAAAGTCCTGCTGACAAAAAAACACGGATGAAGTTGTTACCTCTTCTACCGAGAACAACAACGGTGCATCTGCAATGCATTTGGCGGAAGTCAATGAGATACGGTGAGTAAATGGAGCATCCCGGCTAAAATCTCCAGGTTCACAAGCGTACAACTGTAACCTGTCTGGGCCCATAAATAATGACGACTCCCACACTCAGATATACGGCCAAGCAATGATGTGCACTTCCTCTGGAGAGCTGTAATCTGTTATTATGGGCAGTGACCAGGGGACAGGACAGAGCCATATGGCCACACCTCCCAGGCAGAGCAAATGAAGGGAGTGGGGATCTGATGGATGACCTGTTGGCTCAGCTGCCGGCTACTGCTGCGTCGGGCAACATCAAGAAAAATGGCCCAGTGGACGGCAGCCGCAGGAAGTTCGCGCATGAGGAGAACTCGGGGACAAGACGGGTGATAGTACCTTATCAGGTTCACAAGGTAATGGTGGAGAAAAAGTGTTGAGAGACGTAAACCCAGGATAGCAACAAGTCTTGAATTCTGAAGAGGCCAGTGTATTATATCTGTCACAGCAGGGTGCATCTTGGCTCTGTAAATAGCTGGTTTCACAGTTTTCCATTGCATAAAAAAACCACTTTAACTAGGTCATAGTATTCTGCTCTCGTCACAAAGCATTCAGCAACAACACAAAGACGACACATGATTGAAAAATGATAAGGATAATCACTGAGCATTAGAGTTGAGAGAACTGTTATTATCTGTCAGGTGAATATGAAGCTCTGAAAAGCAGCATCTTAGTTTAGCACAGACTGGAAGCAGGTAAATGGGCTAGATTTGATCTGTCCGAAGGAAACAATAAATACATACCAGCCCCCTCACAGTATATCTTCATCCATCCATCCAGAGGAGAGCATGCAAACTCCACACAGACACCAGCCAGACCAGGATTTGAACCGTGAACCTTACTATGCACTGCTAATTACTGCACCATCTCGCCGCCCTCTTTAATCCAATCAACACCACACCACAAAACCTGGGTATGTTAACCAGAAAATAGGCAATGTATGATTTTAAAATGTGATTTTTGTACAGATTGAACAACAAAAATAAATAAAATAGATACAGGATATAAATTTCAAAGTTGCTGGTCGACTAGTTTCTTTGTGCTCAGCAACACAAACCAGCTGTTGTGTCATGTTTACCACACAGTGCTATTTCTCATCAAACTCTGTATTAAAGTAAAAGAGTAGATTTCCTGAAATGTTTCTTGAAGACAGTGTGTGGTGTTAGAGCAGGCGGATGTTTTCATGCAACAAAGGATCTCTCTGATCAGCATCTGCTTGTACACGGACATTAATGATTTACTTGTTTTCCATATGGTGTTTGGTTTGTATTTTCCTCAACATATTATGCTGCAAGTTGAGTCAGTGTCATCTTTGCATGTATTCATACTTAAAATTTTAAGCTTTACCTTAATTTGAATTATTTTTGAGTCCTGATTGTTTTATTGGAGAAGTCTTCTAGTAAAACTAGATTTATAAACACACATTATCAATATTGGGATGACAAAGTTCTGTTCATCTTGTATTTTTTTCTTATGTTGCTGCACTGAAACATCACAAAAGACTAAATCTAATAGCAAAAATTGAACCTGAAGAATCTATTCTAGCTTACCACTCTTTGGGTTGAAAGAAACAGCATGTCAGCTGCTTGCCTCTTTACAGAAGAGATTATTCCATGTAGCGAACATGGAATACAGAATCAGTCAGCCTTCGATCTACTCATCAGGGGGAGTGCGTGATGAATCAAACATTACACTGCTCTGCCATGCTAAGACCATTTGCCTTAGGGTACAGAGGGTGAAACAAACACATGATGAGAATGTGGGAGAAAAACAGAAAGGGGAGGAAGACACAAGCACACAAAAAAAGGGGACAGGGGCCGCATGGCAATGAGAGTAACGAAGGTAATAGAACCTCTCGAGATCCACGAGGAAAGACTGACAAGATGATGCCACGGATTGGAAAGTATTAGAAGCGACTTCGGGGTAAAAAGAAGCTAGTGAGAGAGACGCAGACAAATGGATCCGGTTGAAGGTCAGAGGGATGGAAAAGGAACGGAGAGGGTAACAGTAGTTGACAGTCGCACAAGCGGCGGCCTTGGTTAACGATTGATTGGTTCTCTAATTAGCCTTTTCCAGTGTGCAGCCGAACATCACAGTGACTACTTTATCATGCTGGGAGGATCCCTGCAGACGTGTGAATAGACAGGTCCCCCAGAGCTCGGCTCTCCTCATTCAACACAAGACTGTCGGAGTCAATGTATTTTTATTGCTGATGCTTTGTCCGACACAAGATGTTTTCACTTAGAAGTGCCGAGCCCCACTGTGTCTCCAATCAATTGTATTGCATTATTTAAAAGAAAGGTTTTCCTGCAGCCTATCTCAGTGTAAAAATTAGTGAAAATAAAATGTTATGTGCGCTCAAGTCACAGCAGCAACTTTATTAACATTTTTCATCAGCAAACGTGTGATCATCCTTCTGTAATACTGTGAATCCTATTTCACAGAATTTACATACCTATGTGAAATTCTTAACCGTTACAAAAAAACCATCCAACATTATGATTTTTTTTCCTTTTGCCTAATTTGGATTTTGCACGAAGCAACAGCATCTTAAATTTTAATGCTCTTATCTATGTGAGGGAGGAAGAGAACACATCTTGAAAATATATGCAGCCAGAAAACGGTTTGGGGAAACAGACCCCAGGGTTATGGGATTAAAAAAAATTGGTGATAATAGTGTAATTTAATTTAAGACATTTTGGTCATGAAATGTTAATGCTATGTGTATGAGCTGAAATAACGTACTTATCACATGATGAACGGACTAATCTGTGAACTCTAGGGAATATTTTACTCCCTCATGGATCTTATATTTGAGAAGAGAAAAAAAACATGCAAATAAACGGAGCAAAAGTGCTTCTGTATATTCAAGCCTCCTTTTTATGTTCTGATTCAAGCCTGTAAGCATATTGTACAGTGAGAGTGGCTGAACTGAGCACATTTACAGGCAGGTGGCACTAAAATTTAATTTCCACACCAAGTGCTGGGTAAAAAAAGCATTCTGCATCTGAGTAACCCAGACAGTCTTGCATAAAACACTACCAACTGTGCAAATAAATAAACAAGTGATTAAGTATTTAGAAATAAACAGAAAATCAGGCATGGAGACATATAAATAAAAATAATGAGCGCATGGAACCAGAGAAAAAAGTCAGAACGCAGTGGACTGAGAGGAAAAGTTTTCACTGAGATCAGAAGGATTGTTCAAGTTCAACTCGCTGCTCTGCTGAGCCTCCGCAGCCACGTTCGGTTGACTCGCTCCATTTTCAGTGCAGCTCCCGCTCGTCATCGAGTTGATCTGGATCGCAGAGCTGGAGTTGATTGTTTTTGGCTTGCTCTGCTCGTGGCACGGATCAGAGCCCTGCAGTTCGTTAGCACCCGCTGATTCCTCAGTCACTTGTGGTTTCTTGGTAAACTTGGGCACCTTGCAGTTTTTGTCCACTTGGCTGTACAGGTTGGCAACAGACCTCTCTATCTCAGCCAGATTCTGGATGTTTTTCAGGATCCCCTTGAGCTCCCTCTTTGTCCCGATGTCTGCTTGTGACAGGTCGAGAGGGCGGGGGTGTTTACGCTCCGAGACGGGACGAAGCATGGACACGGGCGGCAAAGAGGTGGGAACAAACTGCACAACTGGGTGTGACTGAGTGATAGCCGGTGAGGGAGGGGGAGGAAGAGGTGGCGGAGGTGGGGGAGCACGGGCTTTATGTATGGGAGGGGGAGAGGATGGAGGGGGAAACCGAGTTTCAGCAAGGTAGGAGGCTGAAGGTAGAGATGGGGGTGGGCTAGAGGGAGGAGATGTTGGCGGGGACGGAGGCTGCGGTCGCCGTGGAGGAAGCGGTGGGGGGATATCTGGTGGGTCGGGTATGAGCTCCACTGTGATCTGACACGGCTGCACCGTCATGTAGTTGGAGATGCTGGAGCTGAACTTCCTTAGGACGGGTGGAGTCGGCTTCTGGTTTGCCAGGGGCCACTGCTCCTCTCCCTGAGTAACAACAATGCTGGGGGGCACATCTCGACCTACTGATGTGGGGCTGTAGGGGTAATCCATGATAGAGAACAGAGTATCTGAGGTCAGCTCCAGGATCTCATCGCCGTCTCTGTCCCTGACAAGAATGGAAGAGAGGGAGCCCAGGGACTCTCTGCTTTGCCTGAGGGGTCGTTCCTGCAGGTTCTGTTGTTCAAACTGTCTGGCCTGCTCACGCACCGACAACTTGGTGTCTGTGCTGCCGCTAATGTCAAGTGTGTCTGAACTCTCTGTCCTCTGCCCGCCTTTCATGGCTGCTTGAAGTATCTGCAGCTCCCAGGTAGTTGGGTCCATAAGCGCTTGTCTCCTTGGCGCTTCATAACTGTGCAGCCCTCCATGAATGCGAGCAGGCATTGACCAGTTGCACCCCAGCGCCGCTGAGCGGGAAGGAGTAAAGGAGAACCGCCTCTCCACATGGGGACTGCACAGGGGACTGTTGTCTTCGTAGACAGGGTTGTGTGTGGTGAGTGGGTTGTGGTCAGAGTAGTAGGTCACGCTGCTTTCTGACTTGGGTAAGTTGACATGCAATTCTCCGTTGCCAAGGGCTGCAAGGGAGCGACAGGCAAAGGTGCTAAAAATCCTCTTGTGGTCAGCCTCCTCAATGACAGACTTTTTAGCCCTGTCCCAGTAAGAGGTGGAGGTGGAAAGGAAAAGAAAAGACTTAAAACAGGTGAAGATTGAGGGTTTAAGAGCGAGCGAAGCAAAGGAAAAAAGGGAAGAGGCAAAAGCAACATTTGTCTGGCATCTTAACTGATTATGACTCTTGGTGCTGTGACCGATTCTGATCATACATAAATCCAATCAAGCATTTGATGAATTGACTTAAATAGCTCAACATTTGGTTTTAGTTTATTCTAAAGAATAATAAGATGCGATCAAACAATAAAAAATTGAATTATTATTCCCACAAATATGTCAAGATATGACCCAAAGATACAAAAAAACTCTGGACGCATGAGTGCAGACAGTCACAACACAAAGAGATGTGAAGGTTAGGACAAGAGGACACATGAGGAGACAATTGTCTAATTGTGAGGTGGAGAGGAGACAGTGATGGCTACTAAAAGCTGCTTTCAGACATGCACTGAACTCTGGGTAATCTCCTAAAATTGTCCAGAAGGGCAGTCAGTGAGAAAGCAAATAGCAGTTGCTGTGGACAATATGCAGGGTTTGTCCTGTCAGCCCCTTCGTAAAGACTCTGGATAATGAGTGAGCTCATGTGAGAATACAGCAGGATCGAGTCTGGAGGATTTGCAACGAGCGAGCGGACGTGTTGAGACGTGCGAAACTGAGAAAAAAAAAGAAAAAGAAATGTCCCAGGATTAAAAAGAGGTACCGTACACGTAGAGGATGCAGATGAAGATGTCAAGTCTGAAAAAAGACGAGATTCGAGAGCTTTGGCCGAGAGGTGCTCAAAAACATGCAAATTCAGCAGCAGAATTTATCCATCATGTCCTGGATTCTCTTGCTGCGTTCTTCATATGTGAAAAGCAAAGTCCGGAAAACGTCCTGACTCAATCGTGTGGCCACAGAGTTCATGTCTGAAAATGGCTAAAGGGAGGTACCTCTACAGACAAGGAGCTTCACTTTTCCTAACTACATGGAAGTATTACTACTGAGGTTATAAATATACTTTCCTCACCAAGGTCATTTAACAAAACACACCTTACAAATTCCTATCTCATTTGAAAAATCTTTTCATTTCATTAAGGTTAAGTACATACTAAAACCACAGCCATCTATGGGAAGTGCATATGCTCAGTAAAAGCTAACAGCAAGCGGGAAAACAAAGGAACGCCATATTTACAAATACTATACGTATAGATCATATTCATGGACCTCATATGTGTTGGGATTACTTACTGCAGTCTGAATCCAGAGAGACAGGGGGATAGAAGTGATGCAGAAGAACCAAACACAGACAGATGGTAAATGACTACAGCAGAAATGTCAGAGGTGTTAATGTAAAATGAAGACAGGGAGGAGGTGTGAGTGCAAAGGTACATCATGTTTCTGAGGGGAAATCTACGATGCTGATTTATTTGCACGCCCGCACATCCAGTCCCTGCACACAAAAGTGTTTATTACACACAAGTTTCACACTGCTCCAAAGTGTTTTAATGGGATTGTTTATAGGAGAAACTCCACTTATTCTGAGCACAGTCTGGAAAATAACCCCTAAATAAACGATGCTCGGCTCAGAAACAATCCCCCTGAGAGTCTTTCCTGCCGCTACAGAGTCAAAAGCCTGTGTTGTTGTTGAGAGTTGGTCAACATCTGTGCTCCGTCTCCAGCTCTTTTACAGCTTGCCATTAAATTTCAATTTTCTTCTCTCTTCTAACAGCAGTTGTGATGTTAGCAGCAGTATTTCTTTAAAGAATTTACCAAAGGCAGTGGGGCAGCAGTTCTAATTCAGCCTCATTTAATCCTCCAGCAATAACATTTGATTGCGTGTTCAGAGTGGTATTTAACTCGAAAGGTGAAAACCGATCATGCTGATATTCACTGTAGGTATCAACAAAAGGAACCTGTAAAGTAATCTAAGTCAAATTCAATTATTAAGCACATGCCAGATTGTGTATTTGTGTCTAAATTAGAGTGAGTGCATTTTAATAACTCACACACACCTTGAGAGAGGGTTTCACAAAAAAATGCAGACGCAGTCAAATCACAAACACATACATACAGTCACAGTCTATCACCAGCCGTGCTGCGGCACACAGTGGTCTGCAGAGAGGGGATCATGGTTTGAAAACCAATGAGCAGATAGATCCAGTGATGCAGCGTCTGTCGCATCTAAGGCAGCAAGTAGACTGATCGAAATTCACAGAAAGAGGAACCTGCTGTGCACAATACAGCAGCGGCCTGATGGGAGGAGGTGTGTCGTGTGACAGATAATAAAGGGTCAGGGTTTACTCACATGCTGCTGTCGCCCAGCTCTTCATAGAGGTTAGCGCTGGGAGCACCCGCAGGAGGTGCTTTCCCTCCCGGTGGTAAGGCCATCTGAATCCGAGCGGTTTTGGCACATTCTGCCTGTCGCCTGTGCAAAGTGTTAACATGTACAGTCACAGATATATGTGTTTCTGATGTACCACAGAGTATTACTGCCATGCTGAAGAAACCAAATTCAGAGATTTGGAGGGTAAAGTCGTAATATTATCAGATTATTACCAGAACACAACAGCCTGGTTCTTTCTTAGGAGGAGACACTGTTTCTTACACTATCTTTTCAAAGCTCTGATACCTGATACTGATATTATGCTTCGGATGACTCACAAAATTACATAAGTTGTTAACATTTAAACTTTTACTAAACAATAATGTGATAAGATCTTAATTTTAAACCGAGCAACAAATTGATCTTGTCTGCAAAAGGACATGTAGCCTTAAATTATGATTTTATGACTTTATTCACATAATATTATGACATTTTTCTCATTAGAGACCTCATTGTCGGTAAATTACTACATTATTCTTATAAAAATTAAGAACTCTTGTAAATGAACAGTTTTCTTTTAAAATGCCGACTGTATTCCAATTCATTTTCATTTTAAACCTATGAGAGGCACATGCAGTGACTTGTAGTAAATCTGAAGATGCTGTTGTGTTCAGTCATGTGTGACGAGATGTTGAAGATAGGAAGTGAATAGTTGTTGCAGTGGAATGAGGTGTGTGTGTGTGAGGATATGAGATTCTGAACACGACCTGGATAACTGCGAATCATCACACACTTATACGACATGAAGTGAAACATGAAGAGGAATTAGTACTTACTCTTTGAACCTGGTTTTGATGTAGCAGAGAGGAGACAGGAAGAGAGAAAGATGGGAGACAAAAAAAAACATGTTAGATTTTATATAATAAAATGATTTTAACACCAGAAAGTATTTAATATTGGCCGGTCTTTTCAAAAGCAGACACACGTGAGGTGGAATAAATCGTGCAACTATTCCCAAACATAAAATCTTTGTATTTCTATCCATTTAAACACTAAACTGTAGAAACAGGAGAGGAACTTTAGATGTTTCACCAATTTCTATGCAAAGTAGGAAGCACTCAAGCCTCAAGCAGTGACTGTGGGGCTACATACAAAAACAGCAACTGCTTCTTTCTTAAGTGAATCCTCCACACTTCATATCACCATTACTTATTCACAACAGAAATTCAATTATTCCACATGAATAAACAGATTCACGTTTTAAAATAAAAAATTCATCCCTAAATTTAGACAAGCAGAAATGAGAAAATGATTTCCTAAATCATTTAATTTTACCAAAGCCATGTCACCACCAACAATGAGCCATCTGCCAAGGCAGTTTGTGTGTTAGGCTAATGTCACCATCAACAGCTTTCTGCTGTGTTTGGTCTTCACATTTGCATAAGGACAACCAATCCGCCCATCTGCCGTGAATAAACATTTTCCAAACATCACCGTTTACGGAATGCTCTCAGCATACAGACGATTAGAGGGGATAAGAACCGGGCTCCTGCCAACTAAGAGTTAAATTGCCTCGTGAACGTGAACGATGCTTCAGACAAAAAGCGTCATATTTCATTTCTGCAGTGTGTGTGATGCTTGAATGAGTGAGATAAAGCGCGAAAGAGAAATAGAGAGAAAGAGAACGAGAGAGAGCGCTGTTTACTGCATCTGTCAGCCAGAGACGATTGAGTAGTGTGAAGACGCACTGTGACAGTTACAATTGGCTGTAGATATTTGTCACAAATACGTGTTAATTAATCTGCTTTCACAGAGCATGAGGGAGACCAGCAGAGTGCACAGTCAGCATGTCTGATGAGAGAGAGAGAGACAGACAGAGAGAGAGAGAGAGAGAGAGAGANAGAGAGAGAGAGAGAGAGAAACAGGCAGCGAACAAGCGTGACACGCACAGGCTTCATCTTAAATATGTGAAATAGACTTTTAAACTATGCTGTTTGTGGTTTTCATGGCTCTGTTCCAACAGGTCAAAGTGCAGAGGACGTAAATGATGGTCAACATTCAAAGGATTAATATCTGATTTTGTCAGGAGGAAAGTTTTACAAGTACAACACAGTATCTGTCATGGTAATGGTCTACCTAATCAAAATATATTTCCCTTTTAACACCCTGACAACCAGATAAAGAGGATTAATCGATTACAGAGTCCTCTGTAGTAGAGAGTATACTCACTGTTTGTAGGTGACCATGACGATGAGGATGGCGGGGATACAGCAGAGGATGATGATGATGGCCAGAGCCAGGAGCGCTCCCTCTGTGTAGCCGACAGCCTGAGCCGCCTTTTTCACACTGGCCACGATGTCCGGAGAGCGGATCTCCAGGACGCGGCCGCCCTCGCCGAGGTGCGGTTGGAACTCCTTGTTAATTTCCAGCACGTTGCCGTCGAGAAATCTGTGATTTATTACAAATAATGAGCACAGGAGAGTAAATGGTTTTCAAGCAGAACAGAGCCACTGAGTTTGTTATTTATCTTAATCTGGTGAACTTCTGAATTTCATGTTTATTTGAAAGCCTCTATAATCAATATTGCTTTACGCCAATGATATATAAAATGACAACTTGAAAACTTTGCAGTGAGTTTCAGCTCATAGTTCATGTCTTGTCTGCAACTTCACTGATTTGGTTCAGCGCTCTCTCGCTTGTTTTCACACATGGACACATTGCCTTTCACATATCAAGAAGGCAGCAGGAGATTGTCTGTCAGTTTTGCATCTCGTGTGTTAGAAATATCATCAACACACCAACTCACTGGCTGTGAATTTTCACTCAAGGGTCTGTCAGGTAAAGTTCTGGAAAATGTCTCGAGCATGTCTCAAAGTATCTGATTTTATGACAGCAGGCTGCTGCTTTTAGTGAAAAAGCTCTTAAACGTCACTGTGCACTACACTGACTGCCCAGTGACACAGTTAGCGAAAAGCTGCTGAACACATTTGCTTAAAAACCCTCATTTGCTAAAAGACAATTATTTCAAGGCCAATGACATCTGGCAATTTTACCATCACATTTTGAAAGCTGAAACAAGAGACTGAGGATCGGGCAAACTGGAATTACATTTGTTTTTAATCTTTGAATCCAAATGATTTTGACCACGAAAAATAATTAAACATTGTGTGACCTTTCTGCCAACATGTGTTGAATCACATGTTTTCAATAAGTGTTAAATTACCGACCTGTGGCAGAATTTGCATCATACGTGTATATGAGCAACACGCTCACTGATGTTCCATTAACCGGTTGCTTCAAAGTGGCTTTCAAACAACCTGACTCACAAAGGAGCAAGCTGGCTGCCATATCCAATTACTGTCAATTTTTGTTTTTCTATAGGTGAATAAATAATGGCTATGAAGGAGAGTCCACACTCAAGGTGACATGAGGATAATGCACAACACAACAATCCACTCGCCGTTACTCTTTCTCCCTCTGCGATCTGACAGCAAAGTCACAGACATATAACATGCAATTACCCCCCCAATGTGGTCAGACATGCACTGCATGCATAAAAGGCCGCTTTTACTGTACAATTAGCTCTGCTCTCTGAAAAGCTGCCACTTGTGATCAGGGCGATGGTCGCTATTTTTGGTTTAAAAAAAAAAGAAGACGCTGCTTGTAAGACACCCTGCTCATGGCAGCAGCCTCAAGCTCCCACTTAAAAAAAAAAGGCTGTGGCGCTCCTCTGATGGTCAAGGACACTGATATAATAGATTCAACACTAACACAAAGCACATCTATATGTCATTTGAGTGGAGGATTTGCAAATGAAGGGAAATTGCACAATCTCATTTCAAATAGAAAGAGGACGATTCTCAGCAGAGGCCACAGATTTGGATAAACAAAGACAGAAAGGGAACAATAGTTTTATATTGACTGGAAACTCTCAAGCTCTAGTTGAACTGGCTTTTCAAAATTGGTGTCTGATTGATTTGACAAAAGGGCTAAGAAACACTGGAACAAAGAAGTTCTTGAAAGCACCTTTTCTGTCGTCAACCAGTGTTTCAACACACTTTCTGAGAGAGATCACTGGTATTACATCTCTATCTCTACATGTCCCCAAACCAAAAGAAATAAAACTACAGCTGACATAATCACCAGGCTCCTGGAACAGCCTTCAAGGCACCGGCATGACGGATTGATGGACTGACTGAAATACACCAATGCCCTCACTCTCATTTTGTCCATCCCTAGCCTCACCTCGCCCTTCTCTCCCTTAAATCTGCCCCTCTACTCTGACATATGACAGATTTGGTGCACCTGCAGGATAATCAAAGTCGTATAAAGAACCTAAAGGTGTTGAGAAAGTGGAGACGCTGTGGGAGAGGAGAGATATTTGCTGACTCACTGTGTGGACAGAGGGGAAGGAGGGAGACATGCAGGGCATCAATTTCAACCAAATTGTGGACTGGAAGTTTTGCAATAAAAATTCGTCCACTCACTTGAAGAGCTCCTGGCGTGAAATGGCCCTGTTGGTGAGCGGGTCTATGGCGTACACCATCAGGTCCGACTTACTGTAGTCCTCCAGTTCAAAGCCATCGCCATGACGACGTGGCCCAATCGCTTCTACAATAACTTTGGCACCTGGAATCTGGTCCTGGACGTGGCGCTCTAGAATACTGAAATGAACATAATACAAGTCAAACTTTAAAAGTAAAGAAATCTGTCATTTCTTTATCTTTACTGCTTATTCTTTGAGGGTCACAGGGGAAGCTGGAGCCAATCCTGGCATTCACACTAATCCACAGTTTTCGGGAACCAAAAACTGAAAGGTTTGGAAAAAGAGGCTGTCCCCATTTGAGTTTAAAAACTCCTGCTCTGTATTGTATTCTGGATGTGCAGATAAGGAGACATTTGGAAACGGTGATACAGTCACCTCTTTAAACACCGACTGTCAGCAACAGCTCCACCTTGGCGTTGGTTGAAGAAAACAAATAATTCTTCTTACTTTTCACAACTGTTCTTCCTTGATCGTAGTATTTTTATTAACTACTCAACCAGCTGCAGAATAGACAATCATCTCCATATTTACACCAGCGCGCACATTCCCAGTGTAGGAGAATGATATATATTTTCATCTGTGCTAGCATGGATTGGGGATTATTACTGATGTGGAGCAAAAATGCTTATGAGGACGGAGATTTAAACGTATTAGATTGGATGTAGCCTTAGAGTCTCCAGTTACACAAACGCCAAACAAACTGCTTGTCTTTGGATTGTGGGAGGAGGCAGCGTACCCACTGAAAATACGTGGAGAACATGCAAAACTCCACAAGGAGAGAACACGGCTGAAAAGCAGAGAACAGAGCTCTGCACCACCGTTCTGCCTTAAATAAAGAAATATTGGCGTAAATACTGAAGTTGGTAGATCATGTCTAGACTTAAATAAACCAAAATCCAGGTTCACATTAGTTCAAAGGATTTCTGGCAGCTCTGTGACCACAACCAATATGAGAGCCACCAACCTTAAGCACTATACTCTCGCAAGGTTTGTGCCATTGGGCAGCAGCTTGTTTCTCCACACTGGGCTCTTGGCAAAGCGAGACTATGATAATCCTTTTTCAGGCTGGGAGAAATCCACACCTCAAATTACAGCCAATAAAGGAAAGCCTTTGCTGTCTACATTTGCCAAAGAGGATAAACAGTTTGAGCACTCAGGTAAAATGGCCCTGGATCATCACCAGCACTGTGAAAAATTGCAGACCCATCACATGACATCACTGCAAAGAGCTTAACATGACTAATGCGTGTGCTTTTTCAGCCCAGACAGCGGTGTCACTTGTGTGGGAAGGACACAGAAAGCTCTTGAAAAACAACTATTTACACCAATTTCCCTTTCAGAGGAACTAATGAGGCTAAACACTGTGCACCGAGAGCTGCCAAGAGATATTTCATGAATCTGATCATCTCAATCTCATCATTAATTAATTAGTAACTGACTCCCGTGGATTGACTCAGTGGCTAATCCATGATCATATCTTTTGTTGATGTCTATGTGACATTGATTTGTATTAGTCCGTGTTAATTTATTTTTCTGATCGTAGTGGGAAAAGCACTGCACAGAAGGATTCAATTCATTTTCCAGTGTCTTCTTATCACACAGTAGCTTATGTTAAATATAAAAAACTCCAATATGCCTTTAGAATAAGCTTGGAGGTGGAGCTAATTCAAATGGTCATCTCCAGCCTTTCAATTCCCTGGCAAAGACAGTTTGTCCTGAGACAGACGGGGCTGAAGAATGTGGTGGTCCTGATTCATTCGAACCGCTGGCACAGGCTGCCGTGGTCTTGGCCACCAGGGAACTCCTCGACTTTATACGACATTTCTCTCACGAAACTGTGTGTGTGTGAAACAGCAGGTCTGCTTCAGGATGGGGGACGTCTCTGAATGCTTGACGAAGTGGTGGTTTAGGGATTTAGTTTCAGAATAACTATGGAACTGTTTACCTCTTTCAATTAAGTGTCCCCACTCTGCTGAGACCTTTAAGACCAGACTGAAGAGCCACCTGTTCTCTCAGGCGTTTGACTTTCCTTGAAGTCTTGTTTACTTCTTTATTCATTTATTTGTTTTCAGCCTGTATAGCATATTTGTAAGCCGAGGGGTTTGCTCTGTGAACTCATCGTAAGCATATTAGGGGGCTTTTACTATACTATTCTTACTATTTTTTTATCTCCACTTATTCTATTGCTATTTAATTTTCAACTCTGGTTGTTTTTAGAATGTGCTTTATTGATAAACAGGAGTGGTTGCTTTGATTAGAGGGTGTTAACACATACATACACACACACACACAATTTCCTCATAGCGACATTGATATTAGGTTTTTTTCTTGTTTAATATTGTGTCATATTTCAGATGTGTTTAGTTTTCTTACCGAATGAGCTCCTCTTTTTTCTCTTCCACTAAAGTGGGAGGGACAGTGGACACGACAACTTGCATGTCCAGTGCGTTGACCACAGAAACCTGAGAGAGAGCAGGATAGAAGGAAGGAAAGGAAAAAAGCAAGGGGGTAAAGGAGACAGCAGATAATGGAAATCAAGACTAATTTAGCCATTTATTCACATGCCCTACAGTGATTTTGGTTCAACCTATTCAAATGCCTCTTTCCTCGAACCAAATGAGACCCTCTAACCGCCTGCCTGTATCGGTGCCATGCGGCACACTTGACAAGCCCTAATTCTGACCCCACAGTTAAGTGCACGGGCAACAGCCTCTGTGCTCTCCAGCCAAATCTCCCATGCGGCTCCTGTGAAATTAGCTTTCCCCTTGAAATTAACGAGCACCGTGGTTAAGCACTCGCTGCTCTCTCATATCCAGGTAATGTCCCAGACCCTCCTTCTGTCTTGTTAGGGGGCTTGTTAGCCAGCCACATTTCACTGAAACAAAAGAAAAACAATAATCCTGCACACAGTCTGGAGAGATGAGCAATGAAACAGGAACAAAGCTGAGGCCGAGAAATCATTGGTAAAAAGAAATCCACACATAACAACATAATAAACTTATTAGTACATAAAAGTGATTTTAACCTTCATTGACTCTATCATACTTAATGTGAAGTTTGTGGTTGTGTTTTATAGCTGGTATCTATTGTTTTATTTTTTATATTTCTCCTTTATTTAACCAGAAAAGCCCCATTGAAATACCACCTCCTTTCTGCCAGGGAGTTATTGGCAGCGATGAAAAAACTACTTTCAAACATAAACAGAACCAAATAACAAAATAAATAAAACACACTTAAACAAAAAGAAAACTGATTAACACACAGAAAAGAGGTTGAAATAAACAGGATCAATGGCAAAATGAGTAATGCAAAATATAAAGCATGTGTTTAAATTAATGACATAAATAAGGACATAATTATTGTTAAATTACTCTCGCAAATCTACCTCATAAAACATTCCTTCATAAAACACTAACAGGTTACTCCTCTCTTGTTGTGGAAGTCTCACAAAACATACAATCAATATGTCCCTGGTTTGCAGCTGACACACAGTCGATGCACGTACACTACACATATATATTTTATTGATCCATACAAACATACGTGACACTCACCACCACTTCGGCATTGCTGCTGAGGCCTTTCCCATAGTCGTCTGTGGCAATAACTTCAAACTTGAAATACGACCTGCGCATATTTCGAAACATCATGGCCGACTTGATGATGCCCGTGTAGGTCTCGATCACGAAGCTGTCCTGACCCTCTGGCGTGGGTGGGATAATCAGGCGGTACGCCATGGCGCTGTAATTCCCGGTGTCCTTGTCACTGGCCTGTTACACACAAGGCACACAAATTCACAATTAGACAAGGAACTGACAGTGTTTAGTACCGAAAGCAATTAGAACATTTAGAGGGGTTATCAGGGGATGACGTATCCTCTTGGTACACCCACAAACTTGGCTGGATACACAGGTGTTGCCATGGAGGAGTTCAGACGTCCGAGGGGTGATGTTTCTGCTTATGGTTGTGAATAACTCCTGATTCATGTGTAGGTGGGAGTTTCATAAAAGTCAAGAAGTAATGATACATATTTGCTTGGCAAAAGTTGGAATCAGTCTTAAAGTATAAAGGACAGTTTATGTATTCAATTCAATATTTTAAGACAGGGAAATAAAATACATTTTAAGAAACTCCCAATTTGTAGGGTTTCAAGAAAAGGTTCAAAAAGGTTTTCCAGTTCTTTCCAGTTCTTGGATGATGGATGAAAAAGATGGACAGACTGATGAACGTTACATTTTATACCGGGGGAATAAAAGGGACATTGTTTATTTAGACCACAATAGAACAAAAAGTTGACATTTTTATTGAGAGAGAGAGAGCGAGAGAGAGAGAGAGCGAGAGAGAGAGAGAAGGAGAGAGAGAGAGAAGGAGAGAGGAAGAGGGGGGGGGGAACAGGATTCAGCCTTAGCCAGCATCCACCATCCGCTGCTTGAGCTCTTGACCAGTGATGGCTGTTTGGCTCCCAGCATATTGCACTTCTGGCAACTCCCCAATCATTGATATCACAGGACACATTTAGCATTTGACTGCTGATGGGACACCGTGCTGTGACATCAGTGAATTGTGCCGACAGCGCAAAATACTTGAAAGACTAAACAGAAAACCCAACAGATGGGGCTGATCTTTCTTGTGTGATTCAGTGTTGATTTACCCCATACATCCCCTTTGATGCGTCAATCTTTATATAACTAATCGCACAATTATTCTGCAAACACATGACGTATCAAGACAATTCAATTAATTCCATTTTCTCATTGACACAGACCATCACACCTGCCTGGTTGTATACCAGGAGGTTATCAGAGTTTCTCTTACGGCACAATTCCCTTTTATCCTTGCTTTGTTTGCATGATGCTCGTTATGCTTTATTAGTAGGTCAACTATTATAACGTGAACCATTATAACAACTTAACCTGCCTGGAGAGGTGAACACTGACAGTGAAAGAATTGAAGCTTTGAATTTTTTATTTTCCTCCTACTGGCTGAGATATTTGCTCATTTTTTCCCCATGCAGGTGTTCTCTTAAAGGAGCTGACAAGAGGGAGGAGAGCTGCAGCTGGAGGCTCATAAATTATCTGAAGGGATTCGTTTCATGCTGCTGCAGCTTTACCCATAGTAACCCACTGCAAGACTAAAAGAAAAGGCAAGGCTTCCTAACTTTAAAGTTGAATTGTTCAGTTTCTTGAAACCTGGAAAAACTGCTCTCAACTTGGGGGTAGTAGTGGAATTGAGTTGTGAACAAACTGACATATCAGCACCGATTAAATTGCTTTGGAAAACTCACTTATTTGCATCACCAACATTATAGCGCAACATTATTTAAGCAGCATTTCTGGCTGCTTAAATACTATAATTGTCCATATTCAATCTCTTTTAGCTCCGTTTTTGGTCTCTACCAACTCCAATGTGAGGTATAGCTAATAAATGCCCGATGACGTTTACAAGCTAGATGCTGACTGTGACTGTCGGCCAGTTTGTGCTAATCTTGTTACCATAACCAAAACATTGAGGGTCAGACAGTGAAACAATGTGCTGCAGATGTAGGTGATAATTATCTGTTCATATGAGTGATGCATTTCATAGTAGACGATGATATGTTGTGACTGTAAAAACATTAATCAAAGCAGGATGGTGTTACAGAGGTTGAGTGGTTAGCACCGTGTCCTCACAGCAAGATGATCATGGCTTCGAAACCTGCCAGCTGGTATGTTCTCCCCATGTCTGAGGGAAATTTCTGCGCAAACTCCAGCATCTGCCTACAGTGCAAAGACATGCAGGTTAGGTTGATGTGTGCTAATGTGTGGTGTGAATGGCTTCTTGTCTCTGAGCCATGTGATAGACTGTGTGACAACCTGTCAAGGGTGTTCACTGGAATTGGCTCCAGGCAAGCTAATGAATGTTTTCAGTTGGAAAACCTATTAAATTCTAGTAATGACTTTTTGACTTTGATTTTTTGGGTGATTTTTAGACAAGGAAAAAAAAAGAACCTTTAACCCTCAAAAAGGACATATAATTTATGAGGATCATAACTTCCATGAAGCTTGTTAGATCACTTTATGTCAAAGCGGGCAAAACCCACCCCCATCGACCTCTGAGGCACAAGTTGTGACTGGCCACCACGTTCACACACCAGCATCAATTTTCAGAGTGCTCGTCTGTGGCGACTGACACTGATAAATAGGAGCAATCTCTTTTTTTTTCTCCATCTATTGGCAGAGGAGGGGGAGGTGGGGGGCACGTTACCAATGAAAGGGCAGCATAAATCAACACAGTGAGAGTGAGATATCCTCAGTGGGTAAAGACAGTATATATAACAGCATCATATAGCGATAACAGTGATGGACGCAGGGGAGAAAAACTCACTAAAGGGAGTTTGTTCACAACCTGCTGCAAGACAGCAAGTGAAAATGCATTGGTCCTGATGCTTTGGGCTGAAAATCCTTCATATCAATAAAGAAAACATTTACATAATTGTGTTCATGATCTAATCAATATTGTAACATCATCATTTTATCCAATGAGACATTCATGTGAAAATGTGTCATAATTATTGCATTATTTCCTAAAAAATGATTTGACTTTCGAGTTTCAAAATCAGCTCATCCTTGAGTCCAACTGAAGTCTTTTGTGACAGTGAGACAGAAGGACAGACGATCCGTAAACATAACGTCCGTGCTCACGAGAAAAAAACCATCTCTAAAAGCTTTAGCCATCTCCTTGATGCTTAGAAAGCTTTTCACCATCTTTAGAATAGGAGGGCAAGTGGTGAAGGCCATCATCCCGCTGCCCATGAATCTTATTACTTACTTCTTATAAAACAGGGTCGAGAAAGAGTTGCGCGGTGCAGGGTGTAATCATGTAATCAACCTTTCCTTCTGCACAGAGTGTTACCTTGAAATTGTAAGATTTTTCAATTAACTTTTTCATACAATTTAAATGAGACATTAGGAGTAAATAATTCAACTAAATTCAATTTGTAATGCGCCAAATTACAACATACATTCTTTCAAGGCATTTTACATAGTATGGTCCAGAGCTTATAATGATGAAACCCAATGAGCATGCACTTGGAGGTCAGTGGAAAGAAAATAAACCCCAACAGAACCAGACTCAGCGGCCATCTTCCTTAACTGATTGGGTTGAAAGGAGTGAAAGTGGAGAGTGGAGAAAGGGGGAAGAAGAAGGAGACAAAAGAGGAGACGGGGAAAAGAGAGAGACCTTGAACAGAGGTATCACAGATATATTTAAACACTGCAGTAAAAAAAAACATATCTAGTGACTATTTGTGACTGTATCATGTGACTTTCTTATTTGGTTAAAGGGCAAAAGGGTCTGCATGCGCCAAATGTTGATGATATTTCTCACAATTATCTCAGGAGAAAGCGACGCTCAGCTTCATTACTAATTAAGTTCAATGCTTCACACTAGCGGTTCTCCAAAGAACCTTTGGCCTCAGGGAAAATTATAGATAGCACTTGACCCATAATTCTACACTTTGGTGTTGATTCCAAGTTGAGGGAAAGACAGAAAAAAATGGAGTCAACATTAGATGGTTGGGTGGTTTATGCCACTGAACAGTGTTTGAGGAATCGACACTAAGCAACACAGCAGAAATGTTCTTTAGATATTTAGAGGAACTGGGTGTTGTACATGATTAATCAGCCATTATTTTTATTTATCACTATCATTCATGCTTCCAGAAAATTTAAGCATTGTGATAATAATAATAATTGTTATTGATAATAATTTAGATGATTGCATCTAAGATCAAAATTTTTAATCTTCATGTAAATTCAGCTTGCATCTCACATTTGATTCTGTTAATGCCTATTAATAATACTGTATTGAAACGTATCCCTCTATACTTAATTTTCAACAGACTTCATACTTTTGTATCCATGCTTATGTTGCTCGTCTTTGCTTTGATTTTAAAGCACTTTGGCTAATCTCTATATAAATAAATCTGACTTACCATAAAAATATGATTATTTGCTGTTGCTGTGGTGATTGGTGCTGTATCTTCTTTGTCTGCATCTCTTAACCTACTCTACATGTATGGGTCTTTATGCTTAAGCTCAGGTTTAAAACTGTCAAACACAGTAAAGCATGATTCACGTTGCTGTACCAAGCCCTGGAGGAGAAGTTGTCTTCGTCCTAAAAGAGCTTTTATAAGTTATAACATAAAGATTAAGGATAAGCTCCTTTCCTGCAGTAAAAACCAATGCCAGAGTTTTATTTCAAACCATCAATAAAGTGAACATAATCCCCGGCTTTCCCCAGGTGTTCTTATCTTTTTACTTTCAGACGGTCTGTCTTATTTTGGTAATGACGGGGATATGTGATCAGCTTCCCCCATTTTTGATCATCTGATGATTTTGGGTTATTTTCAGATCTGCCTGAAGGTCTTAAACAGTTTTTCTGCATCTTCCTTCATGACCTTTGTACTTGCCCACAGGATATCACACCTACTTCTTTAGTTAAACATTCTCCAGTGACCGAAGGCCTGTGTCCAGTGCCTGTTATACTGTAAATAGCTATTAACTATTAATCTATTTAGGTTTCCACTTAAGCAGTTTTCCTCTTTCTAACAATAAGCAGCTGAAAATCAGGTTGGAGCTATAGGGTAACTGTCCTACAAGGCTGATTATATCTTATTAGGGATTAGATAGCCATCAATTCCCTTCAGCTAAGCTGCAACACAATGGGAGTCCTGCTTATTGGCATTGACACAGTAGCATCACATCAAAGACACAGCTTAGTCTTGGCTAGTCTTCACCCAGTTGTGCTCTGGGGAATTAATGCGAAAAACACCCCTCGATCGACTGTCACATTATTGGTTTTTCCAGCTTTAAGATCATGTGCTGTGATCTCTGGCCATGCCGGCATCACCACGGTGGAAAAGTCAAACTGAAAGGGAAACAAACAAATTCTGGATTTGTTCATAAATCACGGAACTTGCAATCGATGATGACTTTAAGTGTAACTACGCAAAATACAAACCAAAAATTAACATTTTGGCCAGAAAACAAGAAGAAATAATTAAATCCCTAAGATGAGAAATGCAATGTTCTCAGTTCCCCTTTTTCCACCTTTAGTAGTCTCTTTTGGTTTTCCTTTCAGGCTGCACACAGAACTAACAAGTCTCAGTAAAGGCAGTCTGCTTGTTAAGCTCACTCATTTGAGCATATGGTAATTATAATACATCTGAACTTTCGAGGGAGGCTAGAACAAGGAAACTGGTGTTCAGTACCAAATGCACCTGAAAAAAACATGAGGGCGACAAGAATAGGACTTTGAAGACTAAGTATGAGATGATCTCCCAACTGCAGAGGAAATTACATAATTACATGGCTGTATTCAAATTCTGTATACATAATTTACAATGGAGAATAACTAGAAATATAAAACCAACTAAATATAAAAACTGTCAAAGCACTCACCCATACACAAAGACAGAAATACAGTGTGGTACCATGAGTGAACGAGTGAAGCCTCTTTAGCAGAGCAGGCTGATAATCAGACAGAATGTCCAGCCATGCTTCTGTGAACATACTGGAATTACACCAACCAGCTCACTCTGATCCCACCTGCTCCTGAACAAGGCAGACAGTGGGCAGAATGAAATTGAGGAAGAGATGTAGAGAGTGATAGGAGGAGGAGATGAAACACTGCTGCAGAGAGCACATCGGATGAATTCTCCCACCATGGCTGCAGGGTACGTGTTGAAGAGTTGGAGGCAGAATCAGGCCCTTTAGTTTCAGCCTGTTTCCATGCATGCTGATACAAGAAGCAGTTAACTGATGTTTTCTTACCACTATCTTGAGCACGGAGCTGAAGATCTTGGTGTCCTCCGTCACGCCGCCTATGTAGAGCTTCCTGGTGAAGACGGGAGGGTGGTCGTTCTCGTCGAGCACCTCAATAAACACCTTGGCTGTGTTCGCTGCAAAAAGCACATATTGCAAAGGATGTGAATGCAAACAAGTCTCTATACTGTCACAACACGTAGCTATCATAGTGGTAAAACCTGCACAAAGAATATACAGCATTCAACTCCACTCTCTCTACTTCAATGTACCTATCCAAGCATCTGATAAGTGGATAATGCAGAAGTGCTGCACCCTGTCAAAATAAGAATTGGGACACACAGACCCGCAAAGATTAGAACATCACGGTCAGTAACTGTTAAATAAACACATCTCTGAAGTCCTCCGTACTGGCGCTGATCAAATGCTGCACAATTTAGCCTAAAATATTTCTTGTCAATATAAATTTTTCATGGTCATCAACTTGTCCACAACTTCAAAAGAGAGCCGGAAATCATTTCCCAGACGAAAAACATCTCAGTCTGTCAACAAGATTCTGGCCATCACAAACTTTAAATAAACTTCTTTCTCATCTGAGGGCGGGCGATCTGAACAATTTTGAAAGTTTGACATATTTTGATAGTGAGGAGTAAGATTCTCTTAACTTTTCAAAAACTCACTTGGTTTATTGGTTTGATTATAACCAGGGGTAGACGCAACTTTAGAGAATCCTTCTTTATTTAGCAATCCTTTTCAGTGATTTATAATAACACATGGGGAGAGAAACATCCCTTAACTCTTAACCCACCATGACAGCATGAAACAGTATGAGAAGGCACTTTCGGTGAGCTTTGCGTCAATCAATCAGAAGGTTAATTTTGTTTTGATTACCACAAATATTGTGATTCAAGAAAAACTTGAGTGTCTGAAGTGCTAATGACTTCTCCCTTCCCCTGATAAGTAGAAAACAACCGAGCCAATTTGTATTCTGTTTACCAACCAATTAGTGATAACACTCACAGTGAAATGAGTGAAATATGGCTCCATGAAATAATAAAAGTGACAATAAATGCTTGGCTTCCAAGTTGTTATTTGTGAGTGAAGACTATCTCATCTTTTTTGTTTTCTCCAACTCGCTGCACAACAGTAGCATCAATAAACAGCTGTGAGAGTTTAACAGGCGAGCATGACAATGATTGGGAAAAAAAATTCTGAAGGGCAGACAATACTCAAGTGAGAGGAGTTTGAGGAAACGCTGTGAGAAAGAAAGAGGGAATAGAGAGAGAGAGAAAAACGTGTCATTTCCAAACTAAATCAGCAGGTTAACTGGTGTTTTTGTGAGACTTCAGAAATATTAACCCTGCTAAGTCTAATATGTAACTTAGACCGCTTGGGCTCTCTCATTCAACAATAACAAAAGAATAGACGGTAGAATTTGATGACGTTGTGGATCAGCTGTGGGAGTTGATGTCACCATCATCGCTGATGAAAATCTAATGGATACGCGGCAAAATATTTATTCAAGTTATGCAGCAAACAGAAGTGAATAATCATAATTAATTATGAGTGACTATTACTCAGAGTGGAAGGAACAATCTGCCAAATGGCCAGCGGTGGGTTTTTCCTTAGTCAAACCCTGTTTTCCCCAACGTTAAAGCAGAGACGGGCAAAGCCACGAGTAAAGCAGATGAAGCAATCGAAAGACGATGAAAACGAAAGCTTGAATAGAACGGTTTGAACATTGTTGGAAACATTTTGGATCATTTAAGTAGACAAGTCCACAAAAACATAGGTCTATGCCCTTTGAAAGGGAACCGCACTTAAAACATCCATTCCCGTAATTTTTCACCTTTACACCTACACAAAGTGCAGCATAAATACTGTACATACAGTGAAAGATTCTTCCAGTACTGCATAAAAAAAATGCACTGTCAAGGACCATTTTCTTCTGGTGCTGCACACAAATGTAGAGTCATGTGGCATTGGAGCTAAGGATGTACTGGGGGAATGGGACAAACAAAAACACAGCACATCAAATTACAAGGCACAAACACTGCAGTGTGAGAGTGAAGACTCCCGGGGCTGGGGGAGAGGTCTACAAAGTCTCTCTCCCTCCTCTCTCTCTTTAGAAAGTGGCTCTATTCCATCCTCCAAGTATCAGTACCCCCCCACACACACACTTGTAAAGATGCATGGTAGAGACTGGTCCATTAAGAGGAGGGATTGCCGTTAAAGCAGATTAAGCCTGAGTGTGCCTAAGAGTGCATTATCGTTTCAAAAACATGTTTAATTAAATCTGCTCTCATATATATATACGCGTGCATATACATATGAATATCCGGGTGTGCGTAGACTATGTGCATTACATATAGACTGCATGAGTCGTAATGGGGCAAAGATAATCTATCTGACAAATCAGGCCCGTAATGCTCTGATAATTTAAACTCAATACAGACTCATTAATGAGAGGAGAGATGTTCCCTGTCATGGAGCCCTGATCTGCATTACAATAACACAAGTGTGACAAGTGAGAAAAGAAACGGCTTCACTGCCAAAAGAGGTGTCAGCCTGACGATGCCAGTTAAGCTCTCTTCCTTGTGTGTGTGTGTGAGAGAGTCCTCGACTTTACATCTATCAGGTAAGTGAGGTGTGTGTGCTTGTGTGTGCTTGTGTGTATTTTGTGTATTTGTAATTGCTGTCAGAACGCAAGAGACAGACGGCGCGAGATGGAGAGAGGCGGGAAGGATAGGTCATTGATTATTCATTGGTAGCTCAAATGGATTGAGAGTGAGGTATGAAACCCATTTGTTTTTGGTACTTCATCCATCATTATAGTAAAACTTTCATCAGTAAACAGGATACAAAGCAGCCTAATGATATTCCAGCTGAAGCATCGAGAGATTGCAGTCTGAAGGTGTAAGTACGCTTCAGACGAAATGCATCTCAGTCGGTCTCAAAACCCTCGTTGCGGATGCATCTGACAATTTATGAAACTTCCTGGAACAGATAATGATGCCTGCTTTATGCAGCAATGACCAGATATGGTGGAGAGCAGGCTTCAGCTTATCTCTAAGGCACCGCTCAAGTGCTTCCATCACTTTTTATGTGCTTACAACTGAGTGCAACACCATGAATGCCTGTGAGGAGAGACTATCTGAAAGCATCCAGACTAAGAAAAGACGCTGAAGTCTTGGAGGGAGATCAGGGCCGGCATGTTGTACGATCTCGTTTGTTTCGTACACAGCGAGGCTTTAAGAGTGGGAAAACACGGGAGCTTTGTTAACTGAGAGTTTGCTGTGATTAATGCTTTGTCACCCGCCCTCGCGTTGGGGGGTGGTCGGCCTAAATTGTAACAAATGGGCTATTACTGCTTGTTAGACCCTTGCAACGAATTTGGACACAACAATTTTAAGGATTTATGATATTGAGTGTTCAGTAATCACCATGACTGAGAGGTAAAAGTCAGATCTCTACACTGCACATGTATCTTGTTATTCTATCTGTTACAAGAATTAGACGAGAACTCTGGAAAATGTCCGGACAATTGGCCCCGGACTTTTTCAAGATTCATGAAGAACGTAGCAGGAGATTTCCTGAGGCGTTTACAACAGCAGGAAAATCTCTGGAGGCAGCACACAACATATAAATTCTGCTGCGGATATATCATGTTTTTGTTTACAGGACATCGACACTAGTGTCGGCCCTTATCACCAACCACTGTCAAATCTCGTTGTCTTTCCGAGTTGACATCTTTGTATGTCTTCTACATGTGATGCACTTCTTTTTCTTCCTGAGGTATTTGTATTCTTTTTTTAAATTTTCAGTTCCTCATCTGTCGCCCACACGCTTGCTGTAAATTTTCCAGACTTAATCATGCTGTATTCTCTCGTCTGCTCATTTTGCGCTCTCACGTGCAGCCCCTCAGGAGAATGTCCAGAGTTCAGTACATGTCTGAAAGCAGTCCAGCAGTTTCACATAAAGCAAACGCACTGCAGGTGGAGCCAAGGGTGGTCCAATAAAAACTTTTCAAAATCGCTGTCATAATTAAAATGGCATATCGGTCAGACAAGCTGCTTTTTTCAATATGCTTTAGACAAGTGGCTGCTAAGCTGGACATGAAAAGCACCAAATACAGTATAACCTTAGTCAATTTAAAATCAGCTTGATGTTGAATGGAGTGTGGAGTGTGAAACTGAACGATCAATCACAGGATGCAGCAAACCTGCCACCTGCCAGTTTACAAATGGATCAGTGCAGCAATGAGAGGTAACAGTGCATAAAGCACATGAGCACGCAGCCTAACAGGACACACTGTCACACATTGTTTCCCTGTTTTTGATCCAGCTGAACAGTGCAAGTACCAAAAACTAATATGTTAACTATTACTAAACAAGATCATGGAGATTCTTCATTATTATGTATCTCAATCTCATTCTTCTTCAATGTATGCTTTTCTGCAAGAGAACATGTTTAATATTTCTATTTTTTATTTTATTTTAGTGGTATGTACAAATAAATAAAGCTGAAATGTATTCATGGTAAATGTGATAATAAATACAAAATATAAAAATAGGCTGTGAAGCATTTCCACAAACTGTATTTAATCATAATCTGTCACAGTGAAGGATTATGATTAAATATAAATGCATCACCTGGAATGACATGAAAAATAATTTTCATCTCCGTTATCTCATGACTCAACCATAAACATCATAGACGTCTATTTCTTACTTTTGGAAGGAACGCGCAGGTTTGACATGACAACCAGCATCGAGTCCGCCTGGACCCTGAGGACATAGCTGGTCACATTTTCATAATCCAGGGGTTTAGCTGTGGAGATGACCCCTGTCCTGTTGTTCACCTGAAAATGACCTGGAACCAACAGAAAAGCACAGAACATAACAAAGGAAAAAAAACAAACAATTGACACATCCGAGGGGAGTATTGTCGAAATGCCACTCCGCACTGTCTGTAGTGAGTGGCAGCGCTAAAGAAAGAGAGCAGCCATTGGACCATAAAGAAATCACACAAAGACATCAGATATTCCAATGGAGGATACTTAAATTGTGTTTTTTGAACTGTTTTTGCTATTGAATGTCAGTATATGTTACGGCTCTGATAAAGGAAATAACACAGAAATACTTTTGGTCCCTTTAAATGGCACGGACAGATCCTAACTCCTCTGTGTCCGTGCGGATAGGTCAAGCATCACAACGCCTTTTCTTTCCTTGAGAAGATCACTGCTGGGGCCTGGAGGCAGATTTATGGAACTCCTTCTGAGGTCCTCCTGCAATTTTCATGAGCATCTAAGGGAAAATTATTCTAGCTCAAGTTTCCACATGACAGAGACAAAGATCATTGCAGGGGAAATCATGGTCCGCATGGGAAACGGGCTACAGCTTCCTTCTTCGCTCTCTCCATACAACCATACATCTGCTAATGGCTGAAAGAAAGGAGCTGGCCTCCAACCTGTCTGCCGTTCTCTCTCCGTTTTTTGTACAGCGAATAAAATCTGCAGAAAGGCTTTGTAGAAGCTAACACTTTGGCACAAATATATCTTTTCTTTATTTTGGGGTGAAAAATGGAAGAAGAAGACTTTGCTCTTCAAACAAAAAGCCTTTGTCATAATTTGAGTAAGTGTGTTTGGCTGGGAGTGTTTATGGGAAACCAAATGTATACTGCAGTGTACATAAAGAAAAAACAACAATGTGAATTGCAGGATTAATGAATTTGATCTGTAGCACATACCCAGTTCATTTCCCGCCACAATGGAGTAGAAGATGGTTTGATTGATAGCAGCAGCCAGGATAGTCCCCACTTGTGTGCCAAACGGAGCCAACTCACTAACTGGAGAGAACCTGGAGAGGCACAACACAAATCACAAAACAAAAGGTGTGAGGACAGAAGGGATCAATGGAAAAACCTCAACATAGTGGCAGACCGTTGTCACAGTTAGAGTTTGAAAAGGGGTAGAGATGATTGTAAAGGTTTTCATAAAGACTACACACATTTCAAAAAAAGAATAATGTCAGAGTAGATTCCAGATAATTAAGTTTACGAATGCATTAAAACAACTGTATTGTGTTCTTGGAATGGATATGAATCATGGAGACTGTGTCAATGTTTGGTAAGTTTATACAGTCATTAATACTTTACCATCTGCCAGAGGCGAAGGTTTTGACCAGCAGTAAGGTTAAGTGCTGTCAATTCTGAATAAATTTAGGTTTTTCCTCTTAGGAATCCACAGTTTGAGTGGGTCTTACTGAGTTTGTACTTTTTAAATATGTTTTGAATAAGACATCTGTTTAAGAATGATAAAAATTCATATATTCTAAAAACAACCATTTATTGATACTATGATTTGAATTCTTTAGTCATTTGTTTCAGCAGCTCTACCCTTTCACTTTAACTTCAGCCATCTCCAGATGCAGCTACAACAGATACATGTTTGCACAGTACCTTTAATTCCCTGGTTAATGAATAAGTGATTTTCCTCTCAAGGAGCACAACATATTTTAAGAGGAAAAACTCAATCATAAATAAATAATCCATAAAAAAGTTTGGACTTGGCCAATGAGTGAGACTGTATGCACATACTGGGTTTGATACTTTGTCTTTTGGATTTATTGATCACCCCCGGACCTTGAATATGGGTAATTGTTCAATGTTTTGTATTTGTCTTTTGTTTTACCTCCCTGTACTAAAAGATGAAAATGATCTATAAATAAAGAGTTTAAAAAAGTTTGGACTGATCCCAGTAACTTAGTGGTGAGGATAATAACACTCACAAGACTAAGTGTGGCTTAGGTGCATCAGCAGAAATATGGCAGGCTTGATGGTAAGGAAGCAAAGCTCTTGTTTTTCTGCTTGAGTCATTGCTGCGTCTCTCAACTACGATCATGAGCTTTGGGTAGTGACCACAAATGTGTAATTGAGAATTCAAGCAGCTGAGATGAAGTTTCTCTGTGGGATCGCTGGACTCACTCAGAGTGATAAAACAAGGAGACAATTCAAGAGAAGCTCTGTATCGAGCTGTGGCTCCTTTGCGTTAAGTAGGACCAGCTGAGGTTGTTTTGCTTTTAGACAAGGTGCTTCCTGATGGGAGGAGACCCCTGGGCAGGCTTGCTATACATTTAGGTAAAATTGGATCAATCAGCTGAGGTTGATGGGGTCTTCACTGGGAGGAGCTGTAGGAATTTGCTGGGGTATAAACATGTTTGGCTGTTCTGGTTGTCCTGAAGCAAAAGTGGTATCGACTAAGTTTGTGCTGATGCCTGCAGAGGAAATTCTATGGATGTTTCAATGGACCACAGACGCGGCTGGGATTAGTCCTGGTGCTGCCGATTGTCTGTTGTACAGAGGTTATGTTGTGTAAAAATTTTTGTACCATTATGAAACCCTTGCAAGATGTATACAGTGCATAAACTGTACAGTAGCCTATACACAGCAGGCATGCAGGGTAAGCACCACTCTTCCAGCACTTTTGAGTTTTTCATTAATTCATCACAATCTATGATTTTTTGATTTTCAGAAAGTTTGACCAAAAGGCTTTTCACCTAAAATCTAACTGCCATAAAGACAGGACATTTTTTTTATATCCAAACAAAAGACCTGCTAGTAAAACCAACTCAAATGAATCTGTGACGAGATTTGAGTTGGTTGGGCCTCATAAGTGTGACTGTGTATCAATTAATGGGTATAATTGTCATAACAGACGTACAAGTGTCTAATCACAAGCAGCAGATATTATTGTCACCACAAATTACAGCCGCCATAAACAGCAGGGAACCCCGTCTTGGCAGTTTGTCTGTGAGGGCTGATTTAAGCTGATAATGTCATCTCACTCTGACACCCTCTTGTGATAGTGTGACTGCTTTCTGGTCTGTGCATGGGGTATATTCTTCTGCAGTTTTCATTTAAAGTTTGACTATTACTCACAGCGGTGGTAAGAAATCTGTGACAACGCTGTGGGAATAATACTCACACCATAATCTGTGACAGTCAGATTCTATTATACAGTCAATGTCAGTGTTACAGGGTATATTTGGGAGTAGACGCTATCTTGGCAGTCCAAGTTCTACACAGACCAGAGGCGATTAGAAGCCTCCAGTTCATGTTTATATTGTGATTCAGTGCTTTCATCTCTGTAGTCTTTGCTGGCCCCTCAGTTCCAACACATTTTACTACATGCATAATAAAATCATCACAAGAAAGAAAATGTCATCAGCCTAACTTTCCCTTTAGGGTTGATTGTTATTTTATAGACTAACTCCCCTTTATAGGATCGCAGTGGTGGGGGCTCAACCAAGTTACTGGGGTGAGGATGAAGAGGGGAAGAAAAAGAGAATCCACATCGAAACAGAGAATGGTATTAGCTGAAAGGACACACACGGTGCCGAGACAATAAATGACATCATCTTCGCTGCTCAGCGGAGTAAAACAATGCAGTCAGTAACTTTTTAGACAGTTGGCAGGCATAACAGTCACCACAGAATATGTGTTTACCTCTCTGAAAGTTTAAGAGGCAATAGGTGCAAACAGCACAATCTTGAAGGACACAGGGGAAAAGACTTGTCTATCCATCTTTGAGGCCACGGTTACTGTCTCGAGAGAAAAACAATTCCCAAGGACATCTTGAGGTTCAGGATGTTTCTGTAAAATAGAAGCCATTCTCTGGGACGGAGGATGATATAAGAAACCCTTCTGAGAGATAATGTTGTTGAATGAATGCTGGAGGGAAATGACAGAACTGCATGTGGTCACAAAGCCTTTCAGGGATAAGGCAGCGCTGTTATTGACATGAGAATAATGTGTTGTCTGAATACTTCATTACTTCTGTTCATTTTTCTCTCTAGGTGTATTGTTGGGCTGTCACTGAATAATCACCGTGTCCGTGGCATGCTCTACAGTGATGGGAGTCTCTGTGTAAATACAGCCCTCACATAAGTAGATATCTTGTTTGGCTTCCGGAACAGGCGAAGAAAAACACAGGGGCAAGCCCTTGAACAATGTGACCACAGAGAGGTGAAGCAGAGCCCGACATGTGACTCTATATCTGTCACCATTCACTGAAACCACGGGTGACACAGTTGTTGTTGTCACTAACTGTTCGTGCCTTCACTTTAAATACACTTTCTCAGCCATTGATTGTCTGTTCTGGAGATTAATAGCCCAGAAGTGGGGATGTCATTGGCCAGATGAGACCATTTTCAACACAGATTAACAACCCTCTTGCTACGGAGCAGCTGTGGATGAGACTAATTCAAGTTTCCACACAGCAAACATTCATGACTCAGGTTATCAGCGACATACTCAACTGGTCCACTGGGCTGATTGGGCTGATGCCAAGGGGCCACTGACCTTATCCAGTCTTTCCTTCTTTTGTAGATAAACTAGAATAAATTGTGTGTGTGTGTGTGAGTATAGGTAGCAAAATGTTACTGATCTTCGGAAAAACATACCATTAATATACACCATTAATCTCAACATGATGAGGATGGTGATGAAGAGGACAGGACTCCTGCCTCAAGATGGCTGCTAAACTTTTTACTGACGCTGCCATTTGTCAAATTAGGAGTTTCAATGTCCTACCTGCAGCAGACAACAGCCAATGAGAGTCAGTGTTGGGAGGAAAGGTTTTCCACTTTTTCTGTTCATCAGGGTTGGGGCTCTGATCTGTATTTGTTTAGGTGGTTGCGGCATCGTTGCTTTTATACAGAATATGTATTGGGGTGGATTATGTCAAGAATTGAGTAAATGTTCACAGAATTGTTTTTCTTAATTGTTCAGAATATTTAAAAGAGGTATACAAGACAATTATAAATACTGTTGCCAGATGTACTAACATATGCTAAGAAAGAGTCAATGTCAGGTAGTATAAGCCTCCTGATACTTGACAGTAAATTTTGGCAGAAATACTGAATCCTATAAATACGTAGGTTAATGTTATGAGAGGTTGCAGAGCTCATAATAGTTTCTGGGCACTTTACCTTCACACATTCTCTGTTCGTATACATATATTAATTTTCCTTTCACATAGCTTACATGTATTTATTCTTACATAGGGACATTCAGCTGTCACATACATCTACTTTAGCTCTCATGTATATAAATACTTAACACTCATATACAGTGGAATCAGGAAGTATTCAAACCCCTTCATCTTTTTGGCAGCCTTACGCTAAGTGTAAACAGAAAATTAGAAAAGAAGTGAATATATAATGTCATGAATGACCTTTCCCTCATAACGATCACACAGTCAGGCTATATTATTGTTTTTTTCCCCCAAGTTTTCCAAATACTAACAACAATTGACTATTTTCGGCATTCAGTTTTAGTGGCTGCAGCTTTGGTGAAACCTTGGTCCGGAGCAGGGCTGGATAACCTTCTCTGACACATTCATTGGTTTTTTCTCGGGTTGTTATTTTACTGAGTCGTGTAAGTCTGTGCAGGAGCTAGCAATGGGCTGCACCGTGTGATTGCCAGGAAGAGGCAGAGCTGACATGTTATCAGTTCCCTACAAAGTGGCTCTGCCTGAGGGTTATAAGCTGCAGAGAAATGCCATAGGGGATGTGCGGGTGTATGAAGTGTGCAGATTACTATAAAGGTGTAGCCACATGTAGACAGAGAGGATGACAAAATGGTTAGATACAGTAGATAGAGCAGGAGTGAAGGACCAATAGCATAGAAATATGTACTGTACCGTATTGACCTTGATGGTGGAACGATAATCTAAACAGCTAGTTATGCATTCTAATAATATCTAATACCAGATAATTGCTTCCGCCAAGGAGTTTATTCACACCTGTCTGTTTGTAAGGAAGATTATGCTTAAACAATTGAACAAATTACCACAAAA